TAATTAAATCACAAATAATAGGATGAAGTTAATTTGATAGATGTTTACTGGATAAAAAATAAAGAAGCAGATGAACTACTACCATTGTAGTGAAGGAGAACTTTGGTGAGGACAACCGAATGTATTTAGCTAAAAATTACAGAGTTAATTGGTAAAATAGTAAAACCATATAGTAAATGGTTAATTTGCAAAATATCAATCCATCAATTCAAACTGGACTGTTCCTGTTGCAAACATCAATCCATTGACCGATATTTCATTGTTCATGCGTTTTCATACAAATTGCATTGTGTTCCTGCTCTTCCTTTCTTGATCTTCCCCCACTTTTGCTGGCAGACATTACGTTTTTACCTCGCGTCATGTACTACTTATATCAATATAAGTAGCGCTCACCACACTACTAGTGAGTAGTAGTTGAAAATGAAAGACACATTGAAAACGGGTAAAGTTTATTAGAGCTTAACTGTGATGGTATTGTTTATAAAAGGAAATCATTTGTTTATGATATCGAAGGAATGAAGCTCGGCACTATGGATCTAGGAAATGTCATTCGGATTTATAGGTAAACAAAAAACAGACCATAAAATAGAAAATAACATTTGTACAAGACCAAGGTAAAATGTCTGTGATTGTGGGAGACCGTAGTCAATAGATAATTGCTCTGATTGTTAGTAAGGGAGTCAGCCTCTAAGAATCTCGGCTTCCATCATGAGGTGTCATAGTTCTTTCAACTCCCATGGCAGAGTTTGTATTGTTTAATCTGGTTAGCGTTTTTTTCTATGGGATGGGGTTGATGACCTTTTGCCCAACTACTCTCGTTTACCCGGGCTGGGGACCGACAATACGTAAGAATCCGATCTGATATAGTCAGTGACAATAATTCAATTGGAGTCACAATCTTGAAGCATCTAATTCAGTAGCTTGGACATCTACTACGAATGGTCATCCAAGAGGATTCCACGTCCGGTACACTATTTGTTGGTTGTATAGGGCAAAGGTGGCCTGTGTAATGACATCTGTTGGTCCTTCACGGATCCAGTGGCTTGAGAAGTAAATAAACATGACACAGAATAGAAGTCAGTGGCAGTCCCGGTGTAACATCATGTAAATGAGAGGAACTTAATTTAAAAAATCCTTTATGGTTGTGTGTTTTCTTTACTGGAAATGCTTCTCTCATCAATTACTTTTTCCCACTCTCATACATTAATTTTTACCCCTTTTGGTTATTTTTTTTGTTATATTCATCTTCCTTTTTCTATCTCTTCACAATCTCATTTTGTTATTATGTGCTACATATATATTGGGTACCCCTCTGTCCCCAAGTCAGATCTTAATTGATTGGCGAGCAGGTGATCCACAAAACGTTTTACTTTTCCTGTAATAATCATGAGACTTTATTATCATAAAAAACCTATTCTTTTACTTGGTAGCCCCCAAATGCCCTGGTACGGCCGAGAGTGGGGGGAGTCCGCTCTCCCTCTCGAAATGCTCTCACATGGCCATGCGTATATAGCCCCTACCAGGGAAGTCCTACTCACTGCCTTCTCGTGGCGGGGGTGGTGTTTACAAAAATGAGAAGACGAAAGGCGAATGTCTGGCGCTTTAACCGGACCCCAAACCAATGGGTGCACATGGGCTCCAGTATCCTGCGGGAACAAATGGCGTATGACCAATCGTTGGTCACCGGCTACCATGGGACTGCATCTCCTCACGATGCTCCACTGCCTTGTGGGTCAGACGTTCAGCTCGAAGGCTCGGGTTGTGGCCCCCTAAGAAAACCACCTGCTTCGGTTTGGGCACCCGGGCAGTATCA